TCTATATATATATATATATATATATATATATATATATATATATATATATATATATATATATATATATATATATATATATATATATATATATATGTTCCTTGTCAGGAGTAAAATGTATAAAGACACAATGAGTGCAGAATAAGCCCTCCCATTAATGCATGGTAAAGGTTTAAATGCAACATACACCAGTGCATGTGCAGGACGTGTGCAATTTGAGGCCGGAGTGTTGAAAAACTCAAGACTGTGCTTTATTTATAGCACTTCGTACTTAAATAGTATATATACGAAACATGCAAAATTTAAAATATATAAGATTGCTACACAGAAATATTTTCTCGCACTGAGCTACATTTTTTCCACGCTATACAGTATAATTGCTCTGCTTTAAGCCATTAGAATTGAGACAATTTTCGTGCAAATTATACTTTAAAAAATTCTTTGTAGCTTTGCATGGCGATAATATAAATTTTCATTTGTTGAAACATATACGTGGTGTGTCCACATACCAAAACCTATACAAAATTATATTTTAACGTAATTAAGGACCATCGCGCTTGTTTATTAAACATTACATAAATAATTTTTGATCAGGCCTGTGCATGGTCATACATCTCGTTTACATGATATCTCCTATCAATAGTTTACAATCTGCCATTAATAGATTGTAAACTATCTCGTTTACATTATCTACTTTACAAAACGATGAGGCAGTACCATACCCTTAAAACCATCAGGATAATGTTCTTCAAAGAATTTCGTAGTAATATCACCAGTGATGAACTTTGGATGGGTAACCACATCACGCAGTAAAGAAACGTTGTTTATTAAACCTACATTATGAAAATAAAATACGTTTGTGATCCAATAAACCAAGTTAGAAGTGCAACATAATTTGTAGCCTGCATGGCAGGCGGTATTTCTACGGGCAGCGAAAATTAGGGAAGCAAAGGAAATACCGTCTGCCGCAAAACTAGGGGTTTTTGAATTACCCGTCCGTTGGTGAACGGGAAAAACGGATTGGTTAGTATTTTTATGTAGTTGTCAATCAACGGCTAAATTCGGTTAAATGTTAATCATTAACCAAATGTTTTGACGTTTTGATTTTTGAAACTCTGCGTTTTGAAATTAGTTCACGTCAAGTCAGACCAGAAATGGAATAACATAATAAAAAGAAGCAAATGAAAAGATACAAGCTGAAAAATAACACTCTAAATAGTGTTATTGATAGAGATTCGAACAAGAATATTTAACAAAGAAGATACGTCCGAAGGGGCCGAAGTTATGATCGGCGAAAGGTATGGGCTAGTCTATATTATTAATTTGATAATATACTATCTCGCTTGACTTTCAAAGGCCATAAATCGCAATAATGTTGACATTTTACCAAAACTATCGATAGAAATTAGGAGATATTTCTTCACTGAATCGAACAGTGGGATTTCCATATATAGGCCTATCAGTCATGTTCTGAAACAAAGATACTTGATAGATATTATATACGAACCTCCAAAGTATAAACAAGGGGCCGGTTGATGCAGTAATTATCAAATAACAGTTAAACTCTTATATACCCGTTGAATATGTATAGTTGTAAACAAATAAAAACTATATCGTTCTATAAGGTTCAATACTTTCAGTTTG